AAAATCCTGAATATTGATATTTGTTATTGATAATGTTATTCTTTACATACATATAGTTCTTGAATGAAACAATTCATAGATCCCCCCCCCCCCCCCCTCTTTACAATGTTTCATGTAATGATCTTCACACAAGAAAAGTTAATGTTCTGGTTTTTGTACAGCTATGGAGTTATCACACAAATCTTGTATTGCGGAGGGGGCAACAAATGAAATACTCCAGTTACAGAATTAATTTGAAATGTGATATCTAATACAGGAAGGGAAATGAGGACATTTAACCACAAAAGTCTAAAAGTGCACCACCACAAACCACTTTTTTAATTGGATTTGCAACACCAAGAAATTGTGGTTGAAAGATGGAAAGTTTGGTAGAATGAGAGAAACACAGACTGATTGCCAGCTGATTGACATCTGTTTCAAGATGTTTCTAGTAAGTGACCGGAATAAAAAGTAGATCAGCTCACTGAGTTTATACAGGATACCAAGATGGTTTAAGTTTGTTATGAATGCCACATTTAGCAAGAATATACAAAAACCACAATAAATTTTGTCATAGTAGGTCCTCCATCATGCAGTTATGCCTGCCCCCCCCCCCCCCCCCACTCAGTGTTATTTTGGGTACACATATGCATGTTCCCTCCTTTTGAAAACACCCCCTAAGTCTGGTGTGTAAAGTCTTTTTTGTGTATGTACGAGCCAGACTTTGGTGCGTGAAAAGTACCCATTTACCGGACATTTTGGTAACACGCATGGTATCCCTCCGTTCACGGAGTGGGGGGGGGGGGCGGGCAGTTATGTTAGTCTAAACAATTGATAAATGTATGTTTTGGGATCATTTTTTTAATAACTTTTTTATTTGCTGGTCTTAAGTTGTCAAAAGAAAACAAATGTACATGAAGTCCTGAGATGAAAAGGAGAAAACCTGAAAATTTGAGGAAATTTGATGCAATCGTATGTGTTTCTAAGTTTTCATATCAGTGCCTATAAATTTTAAAATCATACATGCCATCAATGAGTGTGTGAGATACTGAGGGCCCTTTCCACATATTTACACGAGGCCCTAACTCATACTTCTAAATACATGTCTTACATATTGGCAACACCATTAAAAAAGTAGTATGACATATTGAGAGATTTATTGGTTGCTTAAATGGGGTTCTGTCTTTAGGATGTGTTGCAATGATTTATGGGAAGGCTTAGACAAACATAGCAATCATTCATCAGCTACACATTGACATCCTTTTAAACTGTATGATACATATCAGGGACCGTACAATGTCCATGAACATCTACAACTTAAGGTTTTTGATATGTTGAATATTGCTGATTTTTAAAAATTGATTTGATTACTTAATGATCTCAATCAGTGATAGATCTGGACATCATCAGGTAGAGGGAATAAAAAGCACATACCACTGATCTTTTCATTAATTTTTGTATCCCCCCCCCCCCTCCCGACCCTAATTTTTCATCCATTCCTGGCTTAATACTCAATTCAATTTTATCTCTCCCTCACTTGTTGTACCCTCAATCCCCTCCCCTTTCTCTCTCTCTCTCTCTCTCTCTCTCTCTCTCTCTTTCTCTCTCTCTCTCTCTTGCTCCTGTCATCTCCTTCTTGCCCTCTCCCCCTCTCCTTTTTTTCTCCCCCTCCCTGTCCGTCTTTCTTCACTTCCTATAATAGTGTCATTCCCCTACACCCTTCTCTCTCTCTCTCTCTCTCTCTCTCTCTCTCTTCCTCTCTCTCGCACTTCACAGCAGCACCACAGCGTGCACTTTCCATCTGTCCCACTGCATCTGCGTAGCACATGTAACTGTGAGGGCTTCACACTCTCAGTGCTCACCAGTAAACACTCATTTACTACAGATTAGATTTCTCTCACGCTAAGAACCAAACTCTGCCTGCCAGCCAGGCGGCATTTACTCAATTCCTTGATGAGTCTTGCCAAGAAGGGGAATTGGATTTATTCTACTCCAAACAACTATTAGTGTGGCTAGCTTTCTCTTATTAGGCGGTGGACTTCTGGGTGCTGTGATAAAGGTAAGCACTTGTTGGTTATTAATTTCAGTACAAAAGTTGGGATTGTAAATAAGTTGATTAATCAGTTCACTGTTTCTTGAGTAATATATTAATTAAAGACAAGTATGTTATTTTAATGACAAATTCAGTGTCAGAAAGTGTAAAAATGATATTTAAAAAAAAATACATGTCTTATTCTGCAGGTAATCAGTTATGATACCTTAAACAAAAGAGTGCTATAATTTTTTTGTTTTAACCTATTTGTTCAACTTATTGACCACCTCATTCTGATCTACTGGTTATACTATCGATTTGTTCACATATTCTTCTATAACTATTCTAATTTAGTACTTGACAGTCCAAATGTTGGGCAGAAATCTAGGAATAAATCTTGCAAATTTGTTGTTTTTGTCTGTGTTTCCTTACTCAAAAATAAAAGAAGGAGAGGTTGAATTAGGGCCTTTGTTGAATACTTTTAGATGTAAGCTTTAATATGTCACTTTCTCAAGAAATATAAATGGGGACAATTTATTTCTTACATACTTAAAAAATTACAAAACTTTGTAAGGATATGAAAAAATTTAGTTGTTAACTGTGCGCAGCGAGGGCTATTGCATAACAATAAATAAGAAACATTACTAACTGCTATTCTCGTTACTATAATCACTATAATCATGTTATTTTGTACACATTTGATTAACATTGGTGACTGTTGGATTTGTGATAATAATACCAAGGAACTATACCCCTATAGCAAGCTTGGTAGCCAAAGTATTCTCTAATTTACCCAAAACTTGTTTGAAACCCCTAAACCACCTCAAATATGATCTCTTATCCCAAACTTCTGTCAGCAGCACCGGAAATGAAATATCATTAATCTTTTCAGCGAGCCGCCCCAAAACGGCAAGCTTACGGCGGGAGAAGGCCGGCCGTCCAGGTCTGTTTTTATCTTTTCCCACCCTTGAGCTAAGGTCTGATTGAATTAATGTCTGATTTGACAGAGTTTTTAACAAATTTGACTTCTTTTCGTAGCTTGAGTGTACTGATGAGAGGGATATGGACTTGAATTCATTATTTTGTATCATAGGCAAATGAGGGAGTGGATGCAGAAAGCAGAATAAGTTTAAGGTAATGAGGCCAGCCTATATATACATTTTGCGGATATGCACAGGAGCACAGAAGTGCTTCAGCTAAAACAAGTTCTGTTTTCACTGACTATCTTGTGTTTTAATGCTCTGCATCTATAGAGTTGGGCATTCTTAACCAATGTATAATAATCATTAGATTCAAGTTAACTTTGAAAAGAAGAATTGGTGTAGAGTCATAAATATCTTACAGAATTTATTTAATTTTTCATAGAACATAGATAATAAAAGAAACAATTTCATTCATTTGAGCTAAAGGATTTATTCCATAATGACATATGTACAACAATAACAGATAATGACTCAACAGAAAAAGGAAAAAAATGTAAAAGAGAGTGAGAGTGATACTCTATACTTAATGAAAACACTAAAATGAGAGAGAGAGAGAGAGAGAGAGAGAGAGAGAGAGAGAGAGAGAAAGGGGGTGTGGAGATGGAGGTTATTGCCTTGTCATTCACAAATTTGTGCAACAATCAAACTTCATTTTCACACACTGCCTATAAATAGACAATAAAACCCCATTTAAATAATTATCTCATATTGCTACACAGTATGGACAAATCTAGGAAAAAAAGTGCTGTCACATCATTGCTAGGGTTGGACTCGGTGATGAATGATGCACCTAACCTACTAAATCCTAGATTTTTCCGCTAGATTCCTGCTCTGAGTCGAGCCACGCGCGGGACGGACGTCAGGAGGCTGGTGAAGCATGGGATCTAGGGATTTAGTGTGAAATGCGGTGAAATTCGATCTCCGATGAGCGCTTCTGTCTCAGGATTTCACGTTAGGAAACAAAAAAGTTTGTTTGGTCTGCAAGTTGTACTGAGTGTACTTTACAGCAAGGTTCAAGAACAGAAGCCTGACTGTTAATAAGAAGTATTAAATCTAGTAACTTAAACAAAGACAATCATTGTTAACAACTGCTTTCTCACTTCCTCAAGAGGGGAGGAAATAGAACTTTTGACCAGGGTAATGAAGTCAATATTTCCAGCCATTCTCTGTATGACCTAGAAACGTTCAAATTGTAAAGTACTGGAAAGATACTTAATTTTAGAATGAGCAAGAGGGCTAATACTGCATGAAGTGGTTAAATGAAAAAAAACTACTTGAATAGCATATTGGAAAATTTGAAACAAAATAGTTATTGACTGCTTCACTTGTATTTTTTTGAATTATCACAAAAAATGCCATAACTACTAGGATTTTTTATAGAGAATTTAAGTCTCTTTTTTGGTTCCCTTGCTGTTCATCATATATGTGGAATAGATTTGAGGTCACAACCTACAAAATATTATAGTCACTCTCGGGTAACAAGATATTAAAGTTCTGTTATGAAAAATTGCCAAGGATATTAAAAAACAACCTGACGAATATCTGCAATGAGACAAAAAAATATTCATGTAAATCTGTACAACAAATTTTCTAAATCAAACTTAAGCTCATATTTCCAAAAGGTCATGAAGTGCAAAAAGGATGCTGGGAGGTTCTTTAAAGGTAAAGACCAGTATTGGAAACGCCCCAATTTCAAAAAATGAAATGGAAGCTCTTATTACCAATCATGTGAAAGAATATGTTTTGACTAATACATGATGATAAAAATTTTGCCGGGAAACCGCCTACTAATTGATATATTTGGTAATTTAGTTTATCTACATGGTCTGTGAGGGATAAACGCACGTGTCGTGCATGTGTGCGTATAGTCCCATATACATCTTTCTGTGTACAGTGCTTGTAACTTTACGAAGACTGGGCCATATTTCTTATCATTTTGATGATTCCAGAACCTTGCAGTACACACCAATACTATGCTAGATGATCAACCTTTTCTGATCAATTCCACAGCATTTCTTTCACAATTCAATCGCATGACCATAACTGGTCTTTACCTTTAAGACAGGATAACTGTTTTCACCACTTTCATGTCACCCTATGAACAGGGCGTGGTGATTAAAAGCGCACATCCTTAGGTTACTACAGACACAGATGCTAATACATGGTGCTACAAACACTGTACTTGATCTGGAAATCCATGAGCTAAATAGGTCACCATGAAGTTAAAACAGTGTCAAAAATATACCTCCTTTCTTCAAGACGTCTTCTTAGATTTGTGAAAGAGATATTACGTGCAAAGATTTTCATGGGTTTTATTGCTTTTAACACTGCTCTCTTTTTCCCCTCTTTTTTCCAGAGCTGTTTCCCCCCCCCCCCCCACTTTTTTTTAGTCCGCTCTCTCTGTGTCTCTCTCTTATTTAATAACTTTTTAACTTTTTAAACTTAGCTTTCAAAAGCTAAATTGGTTTCTCCTCCCATTTATTCATTTAACTTGTCACGTTTGCTAGGATCTGTCTATATAGTGTAACAGCAAGAATTAATGCTCATAGTAGCTACTTCCATTTCCCCCTGAGAAAAAAAGTATTAGGTACACAACTTTGTAGAAACTGGTGCAATTGATCAACTTAGTTTCCAACCTGAAACCCTTCCAGACAGTGATGCAATCATTGTATGTGCTATATAAAAATTAATTATTATTATTATTATTATTATTATTATAGATATATTCAACAAGTTTCACTCCTATTTCCTTTCCTCTACAACAACAAAATATTTCAACTGTCCAGCCATATGATATGACTTACATTTTTTTGGTTGGTTCTGAGGAGCGGCCATTTTGGGTCATATGAGTGACATAGTTCTCTTTCACCAAACCAGAGGTGTATCCCATTTAGCCCCAACACATGAACTGTTTTGATATTTAGTCTAGGACCTCTGTATTCAGTTTTTGTATATTTAAAGTCTAGGGACGTATGAGACCGGAATATTTGGATTTAATACTACATTAGGTTCCTTTGTTTTTCTTTAATACTGTGCTAGCGGAACTTCCTCCTTACTGCATAATACATATATACTAATGGCCAGAAGGGCTGTAACTCCTATCATCTTGCACAGATTAACCTTAGGCCCATTTACACATCCTAAACAACATTTTGAAAAATCATTGATTTTTTAGGTCCGCCGGCTGTTACATGTATTTACAATACCATCAAAACCCATAAAAAACAATGTTTGCTCAAACCACTTGTTTGGCGAGTAGTGCACTTGGATACGTTTCACAAAAAAGCGAGGAGAGCCACAAAAAAAAAAACGAATCATATCGAAGTTTTGATTTACCTTGCAAAAACCAGTGAAATTTCGGCAGGGGTTTTAAAAAACCACACTCCTGAGGTGGATTTTTCAATTTTTTGTTTTGTTGTTGTTGTTGTGTTTTTGCCGGTAGTTGCTATGCAATGCAATGCTACTGCTTTGCAACTACCGATGAAAAATGGGAATGTGACAAAAAAATGACAATTTTTGCTTTTGCTTGCAGTGTAAATGCAGCTTTTAATTCTTTATATCAAGCCTTGTAGTTCAAGAGGGGTAAGATTAATTTAATTTTAATTTAATTAATCAGGGCTTCCAGAGATTGACAAAACACTGCCAATTCCTCTTTATTGCTTTGAGAATCACAGGACTTCCAGAGAATGCTCTCTATGAGTGGTCAAACTATGCATTTACTCACCATCATACATTTAATGTCAATAAATAAGCCAATAAATAAGCCAATAATATATTTGATCATTAAATATATTATTTTTATTAAGATGATCATAATCAGACACTAGATACATGAACATTTGAAGTAGCTCACAATTAATTCAAGTTAACTACATGTACTGAAGTTTCCCCCTTTTCTCTGCAGTAGTCATGTAGCTCCTTGTGAAAATCACCCTAACCCATCAGTATTTTGAGCAGTACATAAGAGTATCATCTCTGTGAGAACGCCTGATGAACTACAGGCATCCTTCACATGACAAAAGTTTGATTGAAGTTAAAATATAAAATGTCATGAAATGAGATTTAACACACCTCCCTCCTAATTGATAAAGGAGACTGAGACCTTGTTTTCATTGAAGTTCCATTTTCAATTGACACAATTTTTTGAAATAGTTCACATCATCTCATTTGTACAATCTCCTGTTTTTGTTTGTGTCCTCTTTTCATCATAACTTTCTACAGAGGCCTTTTAAAGGATAAAATCAATATGAAATCAACAAACATGTCCAGAAGCTCTTGTGATAAGTGATAATTACATAAATTGCATTTTGGAATTTTAGCGGATTCTTAATTGAAATATCTGATACAACCAGGCCTAGTTCTCATTACATAGCACCTGTCAACAGGAAATACACAACAGAAGAACTAGAACTTTCAGTGCCTTATATGTAGCTTTAGCATTGTCCTCACCTAATAAAGTGATCATAAGGTTCTTTGAAGAGATGTAAACAGGCAATGAAATGGAGTCCACTCTTCTCAAAACTTGTATTTTTTACCCCAAAAGGTCTGAGCTACATGTACATGGTATACTGGAAAGAGATAATGTATACAGATGGTTGTTCAACACATGCTCTGTTGAAATAAATTGCTAAACTAACATACATATGTAGTCCCTAACTACAACCCCAGACCATACACTAGTACATCTTAAAAAACCTTACCCCTAACCCCAAACCTAACCTAATCGCAAAGGCAAACCTAACCCTCACCTTATTTTTTTAACAAATCAAACCCAGAGCAATAGTAGAGCATATTAGACAATTAAATACTCAAGCCTGAATCAGCTAACACCAAAGCATTACATCAAGTGTATGTCACTTGACGAAGATACTGAAGTCTTATCAGATGCCAAAATAAAATTAGTCACTCTATTATCAGAAATTCATATGTGTGCTATCAAATCAACTGCATACCACATTTCATTGCTATGTTTTTTTCTTCTTGTTCCTTTCTCTCTTTTCTTTTTTCTTCTTACTAAATAGATAACATGGATTGATGACAGACGAGGAAAATGTTAATTATTTCATTCAACTTCTGGCAAAGCATCTACCTACCCAAGCAAGGTCTTAATCTACATCTCTAACGGATAAAATGAGTAGTTTGGCATAAACCAACAAGAACCTTTATTATTCCAGCTTGGCAACTCACATATTTACAAGTTGATTGGACTACGGGATATCACTTTACACTCTACCAACGAGAACTGGGGTAATGTTGTCATTATGCCAAGAGAGATGATTCAATTGGGTTATTTTTTGTTGATGAAAATGTCATGGATACATTTATTTGGATAAAAAACAAGCAAATGCCGCCATTTGTTGAAATGTGATGGTCACTGTGTGACTACTACAGCAGACCTTAGAAAAGGACCATTCATAATATCTCATTTTTGTTGTTGACAAAGGAGGATATTCATAAGAGAATATAAGAGGTCTATTCATCAAGGTTTATGAATATCAGCTGGACATCCAAGCGACTCAATCAGATAACTGGAAGTACTGACTGTGGAGCCTATTTAGCTCTAAGACAGACCAGCAAGGTGGCATTGAAAGATTCTTTGCCTTGGATGAAACATCCTGATTCAAAAAGCGTTCCTTTATCACCAATCATCTACTAGCTAGGAGTCACATCTACAAGTAGTACTGCCAAATCTGGATAAATTCCTTCCAAACAAAACAGAACATAGACAGTACAGCAGTGAAAGAACATGGGTGCAATGGAACTACCAATCGCATCACTCCTCTTGCTTTTCGTAACGTTTGAAGCGGTTGCGGCGGTCAGCTACTGCCCGCCATTCTGGACACACTACGAGCTCGACCATGGGATATTCTGCTATAGATTCTTTGGGAAGCGCGCGACCTGGTCTGAAGCAGAGGTCACATGTGCAGGGTTTTCATCATGCAAGGGAGAGGAGATGGCTCATATCGTTTCCATGACGTCCGCTGAAGAGGAGATGTTTATTACAGAGTACAGGCAGAGCATCAGTGGAATGTATGGTGGTGGTAAGTCTGATTCTAATATCTAGTAGTGACTTTTATTATTTGAAACCTTGTAAAGGTTTATTGAGTATCAATACCGGTAGCTACAATCAAGACTTCTAAATATCTCAGTTTTAGTACATTTTTTAATGGCTCTTTAAGGCTTTTGTGACTCTCTTCTCTAGAGTACTTTTTAAAGTAAGGCAGGGTTGTCTACCCGTAAATTAAACTTGTCTTAAAGCCCCACTGCACTACTTTTAGCTACTTGCGCCCTCCATATAGCAAACAATGCCTTATTGGTGCCTGTTGGTCTCCCATGATCCCCTTTTTCTAAGCTGATTTGATGAGATAACCACCTGTCAGTGACCGTGCAGGGAGGTCTAATCCCCCCTGGCCAAAATAGTGCAGACAGGAGTTAATAAAGGGGAAAAATTGTAACTTTTCTTTGCATTTCCTGACAAAAAATATCAGTTGATTACAAATTCAATCTTGAAATATCTTCTTTCTTTTCATACTTTGAAATAATGCTTTTTCTTCTTTGATTCCTCATTCCTTCCCACCTTTCCCCCTATTAAACTGTATACTAACTCTTACCTATCCTATCAACATTTCCTTTTAACCCCCATTCCGTCTCATCTTTCTCATCTAACCATTCTCATAATGCTTTAACCACTATCACCTGTAACCCTACCAATTTCCCACTGAACCAATTTCCTTTGATCTCTAACTCCCCTCCCCCCCCCCCCCACCATCCTCTCTACTACTACCACTGCCACTCCCCCACCTCCCCCACCACCAACCTCTCCACCACCACCACCACCACCCCCACCACCACCACCACCACCACCACCACCACCACCACCACCACCACCACCACCCCCACCAACCTCTCTACCACCACCACTATCACTATCATCCAGGTGACCCAGGGATGTGGATAGGTTTCTCAGACCGTGGTGACGAGGGCCAATGGGGCTGGTTGGACAAGTCACCAGTCAACTATACCAACTGGCACAGGGGCGAACCCAGCGACTCTGCCCACATGGAGAACTGCGCCCGTCAGATCGTCCCTATGATGGGTATAGCAGTCTGGGTGGATTCATCTTGCAATGAGAAACACCCCTACGTGTGTAAGATGCCAGCACAATAGTCTCTTCTTCTTCAAGATAACAAAGTGGAAGATTGTACCATGACAGGATTTCAGAAGAAAATTGCAATTTGATCTATTTTACCACACATACTATAGACTAGTCCAGAATCTGGCCAATTTTATTTCATCAGACTCCAATTCTGTGATCCCTACTATATGCTGCAAGTCGAAAATGGCATGTTCCTAAATGTGTACACTCGTTCATGGACTTGACAGAGGATCTGAACAGTCTGAGTCATCTGTGAGAAAAGCAGTCCTAGCATTGTAATGCTTCTGATGTGGATAGAATGCCAAGCAAGCTATAAATATTTGGCAAACAGGCACAATGACCTGACAACATCTCAATTTGCAACCAAGCAGGTTTTAGCTCTGAATGTTGAAAAAAAAGCCTACTGTGCCTGTAATTCTAATTTCATTTTATTAAATAACCAGTTGGAACCTTGACATGGTTGATTTCCACCTTTTCTAAGTTTATTTCATAATCATCACTTTTGCAAAAGTCTGTTGTAGTCAGATCAGAATCAAATACAGTGAATCAGAGAAAGGCTCTATTTTAATAAAGGAGTATTCATACTAGAACAATAACTTACATCACTGAATCAAATGAATGTAAGTCAGGCATGCTATTGTACCACACAATTCAAGTGAAATCACATTAACATTTCATCACTTAAATAAAAAATTAGTATTAGACCTACATATCTCCTGCAATGAATTCTTTTGGTTTACAATTAAGAGAAAAACTGTAATTTGATAGTTTATACAGTTCTTACTTTATATTTGGAACAAATCAATGGGGGGGGGGGTGATAAAGTGCATACCGTTCCAATGCACAAACCCTGCACTTGGCAAAGTCTCTTTCTCTTTTTTTCTCTTTCTATGACAAAACTTACAGGAAACATCAAAACTTTCAAGCTCACATCCTATTTCCCAAACGGATTATTACAGTTTGAGCGTACTCAGGAATATAGTGATTTGTATTTTCTACTTTTTTTTTCTAAAGTTTCAATAGTGTCTTGTATGTTGTTGTAGGAAACCCAAGAAGAAAAACAACTGTGACATGGGAGAGAAATAATGCTAAATTTTTATTTGGCTAGACACAGCTGGCTACAATACAGAGTTGAATGCACTGAAGTTGTATATTATGTACATGTTCAATTGTTCATGTATAATGACTGCAATCTACAGTGCAGTGTGATATCAACATTGTGCTTTCAAAATATAATAGTGCTTTGTCTCAAGATAAAAGTGAGAGGTATAGTATAGTCTCAAGATTTGGAGGCGGGGGGGGGGGGGGGGGGGGGCGCTCTGACAGAAAAAGAAGCAGTATTGTACATGTATATTCAACATTATTGCGTGGGCTTTTTGGGGGATAAATTAAAAAGGTTTATAAATGGTGAAATGGGCATGTTAGAATGCATACATTTATTTATTTGATATTTGTGAATCAAAATTCAATGATTGTATTTGTACAGTGGTTGAGGTAACAACAATTTCCAATTCCTCTTTTTGTTTCATCGTTATCTGATCTATTAGCATCTCTCAGATGTACATGTGATGAATGATTCTGGATATGGAATTAATGTGATAAGTTTGTATTTACAAGTTAATTAATACTGCTGTACTTTTTATGTTTTTTAGCTTGTATATAAGACTGGAGAGTTAGATTATAATATATTGATATCAAAGTTATGATATTTTTAACAATGTTTAAGCTTTGAAGATTATATGATTATCAAATCATGTTACATCTAACAATCTCATATTCCAAAGCAGGAATATAGCACCTAAACTATGGTACATATACATACATGTCATCATATGTTTTCAGGAGCTTTTGAATATTTCATTGTTTGAATATTATTATTGTTTGAATATTTTTATTGCGTGTTTATAAAGTAGCACTGTCAGGAGTTTTGTTTTCATCACAGTGTAGTAGAGTATATTTATGTAGTAGCTGCACTATATGAATTGATCTAATATTATTATCATTATGATTTCATCCAATAGTTTGGGTGTTGAACCATTACTCCCTCCTCCTCCTACCCTGCCCCCCACTCCCACATCAATAAGTATTTCAAGTGGATAGTACCGTTACACATTCTACCTCCGAATCTAACCAGGGCATTGTTTCACGAAACCGTCATAAGTACAAGTTTGCAGACATCCCATTGAAACGTGTGTACAATTAACATGCGTTTCACTGGGACGTCGGTGAACTTGTACTTATGATGGTTTCATGAAAACGATGCCCAGAAACATGGTTTGAGGTCTGCATTTTCTACTTTGGTGTTCTGGATTTGAAATGAACTGCCTTAGTTACAAATAATGTAAAGTTT